ACCAAGCCGATAATTAGGAGACGTATAAAAATACATACACATATCCATATACATATACATAATCATATACATATACATATACAAAACATATACATATACATATACATATACATATACATAATTATACGTATACGTATACGTATACGTATACGTAAACGTATGCATATACTTGCACATATACATATACATATACATATACATATACATATACATATACATATACATATACATATACATAAACATGTACATATACATATACATATTTTGGCTATGTATATACATATACATACACATATACATATACATATACATATACATACACATATACATATACATATAAAAATACATACACATATACATACACATACACACATACACATACACATACACATACACATACACATACACATACACATACACATACACATACACATACACATACACAGACGAAGACATATAAAATATACATACACATATACATGAACATATACATGAACATATACATGAACATATACATGACCATATACATCTACATATGTATATATACATACACATATTCGTATATGTATACATACACATGTACATATTCATATACATGTTACATATACATGTAGTGCAAACGCCCTTGACTTTTCCTGTGCATCCCAGGGTTGGTTTGCAGATGGTTCGCCCATCTCTTGACATGTGAAACCGTCTCAGTGCATAATGACTCCGTCATCCGCATATTAAACGAGGGGAACGGGTGTTGTGACGGCCCCGACCCCGCCGAAGCTTCGCCGGGACACAAGCACGTGAACAGCATCACGATATCGGCAACGAAAAAGCCTGTAGCACGGACACCTTTTTCAAGTTTCCAACCTTGCCTAAGCCGTCTTCAGGAGTGTAGCAGCAGAGGTTGCCAAGGCGATCTGTTCCTCACTCAAGCGCAAATGCGCCACCATGGCGGCATCATCCTGCAGATAAATGCGTGCCGACGAGGTGGAGGTCCGCCGGCCCCTCGGGAGAGCTCTTTCCATGCTTTGATGGGATAGAAAGTCCCATGTAGTGCCCCCGCGACGCAGAGAATTGACATTGATGTGCAGTCCATCAAGAGAGAAAACATTGAGAAACAGTTTAAAACACTTGCGGAAGTGATCAGCTCTCGCTCGCATTTCTACCGTGGCACGACGTACGAAACCATCTCACTGCATACCAGCTGCTGATGACTACCATTGAATTTCTTCTCCTCCTGTGCGCTGGTAAAAGGTAACATCACCTACAGCAAGATGATACCATCAGAACAGATGAGCAGCGCGGCAGCGACATCACACAGCTGTATGCCCACTGCTAGGCCTGCCATCCCTAGCAGAACCAACGGGCTTAAAGGAAGTACTCGCACTGGTGGCTCCATGCGCTGCCAAACCTTTCAAAGCTTCCAACTTTGACGCAGCCTGCACACGCGCTGCGGCACGAAATGTTGGATGCCCGCTATAGACCGTCACCTGCAAGGCCCTTATGCTGTCCATCTGCATACAAATCCTCAATCCACGAGCTTTCGCTCTCACCGAATTGCGACGGCCGTGACACCATGATATCCGAGTCTGCCAAAAAAGTAAGGAATGCCAGCACCGCCACAGCATATCGCTTAGACATGGCCGCTGACACGAGCTGCTCTTTCAGCGTGAGCTTCGGCCGTTTTGGGAAAGTCGCTGTTCGGCCCATCGGCTCGGAATGTCAGCAGGATTGTTTCACGTGTCTACATATGCTACTGTCAGAAAGAGGCCTGCAGCGACACAGATAGCATTCAGTCATTTGAGCGTACGACGCAACTTTCCACTGCTTGTTTTACCCTTGGCAATGATAGCAGAGACCACCCCTGAGTCGATCAACACACCAAAGCTTGATGACAACAACTACTTGCTCGTCTAACTCTGCACGTGACTGAGTTTAGAACCGCTTGAAGCTCCGGGGCATTGATATGAGCAAGATGGGCCCACGAATATCCATGAGCTATGGCCCATTGAAGCGGCTGAGTTTGAACCCCACTGCGAGGCCAAGCTTTAGCACGGAAGGGCACACCCACATCCGAACCAACGTCTACGCCTCCTTTCTCAGCGACTCGTAAAAAATGATTTACCAGACGACTAACATCCTCCGTGGGTGCAGACTGTTTTTCGAACAACAGCAGTTGCGTCCACGAGGTCGGAGCAACTCCCCGCACAAAGAAATCCTTCTTATTCCGACTTCTTTCACCCCCATAAGCCACACATAGTTCATCCAGTGGCACCATCACGACGGATACATGAAAAACACCACCACCTGGATGGTTTTCCTACCTTCCCCTCGAGCACATGTAAACACTGCCTTCCTGCAAAAGGTGGTGGGTGTACGAGCTGGGGAATCCTCCAGGCTTGTCGATGTTTTCGACATACCACCTGTCGAACTCGTTCTCTACGCCTAGGTACTCGATCATGATGTGCCCACCATACTCATCATAGGACTACATTTTCGCGTATCCCAAAGGCCGCATGTCATTATCCAGGGCCTCAAATACAATGAGCATCCAGTGAAGCGTATGCGTCACCGAAGTCACGATCTGCAAGCCGAGAGCCCTGGTGCAGCAACGGGATTGGAGGTAGCCCATATAATAGGTAATTAAAATTGTAAGTAGATAGTATATAGATATTTAGATGTATAAACAATCTAGGTATATACATACAGACATTTTTGGCTCCCACATGGCATCATCAGCTCGCTGACTCTGCATCGCAGGTGTCCACAACAACTAATCCTGTCCTGACCTCCCACCCCTGAAGTGGTCTCAAGAAAGGTGCGTCAGATGAAACCAGGGCAGTCCTCAAGCATTAAGGCTAGCTAGCATCTTTCACAGCTCACGGAAGCCAGCCAGCAGTTCACACTATACAAAACAGTGCACACAAGTGCCACCAGTTATCAGGCAGGACCGGTGCACTCCTGCCCAGAAAAGTTGACGCCTCCGAAGCATTCTCAGTTCACGGTGCATCAGAGCTCACGTTCTGCTCAGCTGACGATGCTTCAGGGTACAGGCTGGCACAGGGACTTTTCAGAGGCCGTGACCAAAACTCCCCATCGCAGAGGCACCACCATGATAGTGCACATCCATCTTCCAGGGCAGCCCTGACGTCCCCTTCAGTTTGGGAAAGCGCTGTTCGTGGCGCGCAATACGCCGTGTCACCGAACTGAGGAGTAGTCCAAAGACCCAGAATATTGAAGCCAGTGGTCCAAAAGCAGCAACGTTCAGCTTACGTAAACAGCTGCGTCTCGAAGCCATCATTACGGGCGGCTTTCGAATAACCTGTGCAGAGGTTTGCCTGTATCGTCGTCACCACTGTTCGTAGGTTCCAAACGGCCGATGCAGAGGCCTGTAGTTGTGATGGCAGGCTCCACTTTTGTCCACTCGTCATGTTCCAGGAGTGCGAACAGGCCATGGGCAGCGCGGGCGAAGGGCAATGGTTGATTAGGGACACCCACGCATATAGATGTAGACATATAGTTATAAAGATGTAGATATGCACTGTGTGCATGTAGCGGGGGGTTCGTGTGAAGGGGTATTTATGTTCTGATTGTGCCGAGCCAATAGTTACCTAAGTTTGTGTATTTTGTACATCTATACATAGCATTTGTATACATACATACAGACATATACATACATGTGGACCACTGCATGTGTATATACTTGTATACATATACGTACACATTTATGTACAGAGACAACTGTTACATATGTATATACACTCTATACATATGTATAGATATGTATGTGTATATATATATATGTATACATACATACATAAATGTACCTTTGGCCACACAAGGCATCCCTAAACCATAAACCCTACAAATCCTAAACCCTCAGCCGCGACCAAGACTCCTGCAATGGCCATCTTCGACCTGGCATCTTGTGCTAAAGGGACTTTCCTGCCTAAACCCTCTGAGAGTCTTTGTCTCACTTTACACTTTACTATATATATATATATATACACACATATGTTTGTATATATATATATATATATGTATATTTATTTATTTATCGTACACCCTAAGACGCGTGCAGTGCACGAGTTGGGAAAAGTGAGAAGCTGCCCTACATAGGCCCGTTTCATGCACCGAAGGGCCTTCCCTGCTTGGCCAAGGAGAGGTCTGCAACCTGAGCTGTTGGGGAGGTCGGCTGCTCGAACTCGTTCAAGGGGGTGAATTCTGTTAAAGAGTGTTAATCCTTAATTACGGGAGGTCTACAAAATTGAAACACCACCAGCCCGGCCCACTACGTTATGATCATGTTTTGAAACTGCCAAACAGAGAGTGGCCCGGCCCTCCGACAGCACTCCGAGAAAACCCGAGCTGCGAGGTCGCCCACGCAGTTGCCCCAAGCCAGGACAGTGATGCCGAGCACCGAGGATGAGATTCCCAGATTGAGGCCGAAAGCCTCCAGAACTGCCACGCACTCGTTGGCCAACAAGTTGAACCTTGGCCCATCGTCTTAGATTTCTACTCGGTCGCGAGCTTCAGGGATTTGGAGTTAGGGCCTCGGGTTGCAAGGCCACAAAATAATGGAGTGATGCTCCCAGCCCAGGCGCCAACTAACAGCCGCGGCGACGGCCCAGAGCAGGAGGAGCAGGTGCCAGGCCGGCGCATGGCCCGGGTTCGAAGTGCAGAGGACGGCCAAGCTGGCCAAGAGGCCAGCAACCAGAGCCAAGGCCCAGGTAGGGAAGTGACCTGAGGCCTGAAAGGCCTCCCAGCCCCCATAGGAGAGGAACATGAACAGCACTCCACAGGCAGGGCAGGCCGCTGCCAGCAGCCGCTCTTTCCGACTCCAGCTGGCCGAAGGTATGCAAAGGCTCCGGGCCAAGGTGAAAGGTAGCTCCAGGGTGCAAAGCACGAGGCTTACGGTCGATTGCCTGGTATAGACCAGTCCCGGCAAGGCGAGCTTGGCATCAAAAACTTCGGGGTCCTCGTTTTCGGATTCCGAGGCGAGCGGCAGAAAGCTGCCCTGCGACGGGCTCGTGGGTTCCTCGTTCTCCCAGCTGCCTTGGGCAAACCGCTTCACATGATGGCTTTCAAAGAGACTGCACCTAGGCGCCTGTACTTGTTTGTTAATCTCAAGCAGCCTGTCCTACGTTGCACCAAAACTAAGTATGTTGATCATTGCTGTACATTGTCTGTCCTGCCAGGGGGGCTCCAGAGATGTCAAGAAATCTGAAGACAAGTAGGCATGATAAGCCTTCGAGCTGGTGTGCATGTTTGCGTGTCTCTGTGTGTGTGTGCGTCCGTCAACATTCACATCCGATCCCTTCTGACAGCTGCAGCTCTACTTCAACGTCTCCTTTTTCGTGCAAAGGCATAAAAACTCCTTCAGGGAAGCAGCTCGTCCCCATCTGCGGCTCGAAGACGAGCTCCACCTCTGAGTTCATGGCCCGGGCATGCGCAGTGCGGAAGCACAGGCGCCCAGGAAGGAGGACAAGCGCAATGTAGAAAACATAGAGCACGAAGAAAGATATGCTCTCAGTCAAGGTGATGAGATTATCCCAGGTCACGGCGACCATGAAAATTGTCACCAGCATGCACATGATCGAATCACGAAGGAAGGGCAACCCGTCCACTTCTGTCGGCCCGGATTGCGCCAGCATTATCCATGCCATCACACAGATGGCGATGAAGTTCGCAGCGCCAAGGAATTCGCCCATGGTCAGCGGCAGGTCGTTCGCCTCCACCACTGAACGCAGAAATTCAAGCCCGAAGCCTGAACCCTAGACTTCCTACAGTACTACACCCTCAACCCTGACTCAACACAGTGCACTCCTAAACTTCCTAAACCTGGAACCTCCAAAACCGACAAAGGAAACTCTGCCTTGTTGATGGAGCTGCAGGCCGTCATCACATCAGGCATGCCATTACCCAAGGCGAGCAACGTGACACCAGCCACATCCTCCTGTGCCCCACGAGCCGTAATTCTCAGACCATGCTACTAATACTAATAACTACTAGCTACAAAACCAAATCAAACAGGAACCACACGGTCTAAGAAAGACTGGCCGAGCTACGTACTGTTTGCACCCTCAAGCAAAGCTTTCGCAAACAGGACCGGGGATGGGAACCCGCTTTTCCGGTCAAATACTTTGGGGAGTTGACGAATCCGACAGCTAAATCCCTTCGGTGTACCCGAACCCGTCGATTTTCGGAGTTCCCCACAGCGCGCAAGCGCGTGGCACGAAAGTTGCAAAGCCTACATGCCTCACCCGACCACCTCCTGCACAAGTTGCAACAACTGTTTGGTGCTTAGAAGGGAATGGGGGAATGGATTGTAGGGACTACCATAAGGGACCTTAAGGGACGATCATAGGGATCCATTCCCCCATTCCCTACTAAGCACCAGACAGACAAGCACGGCAATGCTTCACTATCGGCCCAAGACTTCTCTGCCAAAGGCACAGCCAGCAACGCCAAAGCAGAACGAGGAAGCAGACGCCCACAGCTGCTTCAAGCCCACACCCCCCTGCAAACCTGAAAGCCGTGACTCTTCAGACCACTTCTGCAGCCAGGCCCTAAACCCCTAAGCCCAAATTAGAAGCTCTGAGCCCTTCATCCTGTAAGCCGAGGCAGTGGGACAATGCTTCGAGCTGTGGAACAAAGTAATCGTCCGCAGTGCTGGCCTTAAGCTTTGGGGCTTTCAACGTGGCTCAAGCAGAGGGTTTGGGGGGCCTTCAGGCTTCCGGGCAGGAAGGCCTAGCTGGAGCTGTCACGTGTGTATGTACTTGTTCTATATCTGCATCTATATCAATATCTCTATCCACCTATTTGGGTATTGTACCCTCAGTTTGCAACCTGGACCTTCGTGGCTTCAGGAAGGCTCTGCTGAAGAGCTGGAGGCAGCACCACCAGGCTTTGGGACTTCTTCTTACCATCTTAACGCCGCAAGGCATGACATGTCATCTCTAGTTCGCGACGTGGGCAGCAAGCTCGGCACCCCACCAGAAGGCTGATGAGCAGGAAAAGCCAGAGAAGCAGAAGAGCCGCCTGCGAGACACACGCTGTGCAAGGTCTGCGGGGCTGTCTGGATCGAGCCCGATGGCATGGGATGCTTTATCACAGCGTGTATCATACTCAACCTTTGTGCTGCAGGCTTGCAACCAAGATACCAGGCTTGCAGCAAGATGCGCAACCCAACACACTAACTGCCTCATCGACCCGCCTTCACAGGACTCGGCAAGAGCTCGGAGCATGCATAGAAGGACCTCATCCATGAAGGGCTACCCTTCGAGGAGTCTGTGCCAAAGCTACTTTCTTTCTTCAGGGCCCTTGCAATGAGCGAAGCCCCTTGCACATAGACCGAAGGCGAAACAGCAGCGTACAATGTGCTTGCTTGCTTAACACACTCGTCTCGATTTGCTCCATTGCTCATATGGCCGCTTTACCTCCTTTATGCACCTCTCCACAAGCACGGCTGCAAATACCTGCAAAAAGCACTGAAAGCAGTTCATCCCCGAACCGCACAAACTCCCCAAACTTTCACTCGAAGTGCCCCGAAACAATCAACTTTCCAACTTCGGCAGGAGTCATGTAATCGAAAAGGGCTTGGGAGTCGCTGTCGCCCGCAGAGCATGGCTCGCGATAACTGTAATGGGTCAGAGCCGATCCGGGTACCACCAGGAGCCTGCAAGCAACGAGACTGAACGGACACTCCAGGTTCGCAAATTTTGGCGTCGTTTAACGTGGTTTGGGGAGGGTAGCACTGGAGCAGGCGCGAAATCCAATTGAGGAGAACCCACTCATAACCAGCAGAATCGAGGTTGCAACTAGGAAGCCCATTTGCGGGGCCGGTGAAACGAGTTCCGAGGGCATGCTGAACAACGTTTACCTCGCATCTTCATGAAACCTCGAGGCTTCTGCAAGCCAAGGTACAGCGTGATCAATCCCAGCCCAGCCAGAATTTGCACCACCACTCGGCGCATGCGGTCGCTGCGGTGGAGGTAGGCTGACATTTTACTAAGGCTACTTGGATCAAAGTTGGGTGGTCGGTGGTGGTTCAGCTGAGACTTGGCCGAAGCCACCCGGCGGCAACAGCTACTGAAGGCATGCTGAGGCTTGCAGAAGACAATAGCTGAGCAAGAAAAAAGCAAGTTGTCCTTCTGCAGCACTGCAAGCCAAAACCGGACATACGTGTTGATTCTCCACCACAGGTTGCCCCTGGCACGAAGCCCAAACACCACCGCGCAAGGCAGGATCGTGTGGAACTGTGCAAAGAAAGCCCAAGAGTACAAGGCCCCTGCTCCGAGGTAGGTTCTCTTTGCCGGCTCTCCGAAGTGGCTAAGTTGAAGCTTGCTTTCGAAGCACTGCCTCCCATACCTGGCAAGTGGGTGCAGCTCTGCACCGGCCGAGAGTTCGAACATCATCGGAAGCCGTCGCGCTTCGACTTCTGGCTCTTGCTCTTGCTCTGGGCCAGAAACCCCTAAACAAACCATGACAGACCCCATACAGTGAGGTGGCCCTCAACCCCAACCTAGACCCTTTGTCACCTGGTCAAGCGGAAAACATGCAACAGCCCACGACGCATAGGAGTAAACTAGTACTACTGACTAGCCTGACAGGCGCCAGGCAGGAAGTGTGCACGATCTCACTCATCAAACGCAATTGGTCTTCCAGGAAAGTGAACCCACCGTAGCCCTAAACTCTTAATGTAGGGGCCTTAATAATTAGACTGTGACTAGGGTTTTGGGGCCCTTTGTAGTATAGTCCTATGCTGAGCCAGGTCCGGCGGACCAGTACTCCCGGCCGAAGACGACGATGGACGCGTGCCTTGGCGCACTGGAAGGTCTCTGCAGAGCTTCCTCTGGCGTTCGGCAATCTCAGTGGGTTTAGGGTTTAGGGTTTAGGGGTCAAGGTGCAAGGTTTAGGTACCCAGCGAAAGCGGAGCCTCCGGCAATGCTCTGAGATGCAGACCAAAAGACACCTTGAGACTTGAGCAGGGCGGCCTGTGCACGCAGGTTTGCTCCAAATTGAAAACACTTGCTTTAAGCACCGTTCGTTCACGCTTGTCATATAATGAAAACTCCAGAAGACGGAAATTTGCTCCTTGACCGTGAAGGTGTTAATGTGCAATACCAAAAAATAGTATACCACGGTACTCTACTATAGCATCACAGAACATACTATACTATGAACTCCGGAGCAAGACTCAACAGCAGGAGAGCCCACTACCCCTTCATGCAGAAATATACACTTTCATAAACACGGGGCTTCCATTTCTGTTTGAAGGTATACTCCCTGAACCCTTAACAACCCTGAACCACGAACTCTGAACCCTAAACCCCAAACACCAGTCTTTAACTAAAGAGTATTGGTATTTTGCTATAAGGCAACTGGAGTTGGCTTCTCCCTCCGTCGGCTCCTGCGCCGGTTCGACTTCGGCAGCCAGCTCTGCTGGGATGTTGTACTGGTACAGCCACACCTTGAGAGATCTGATGTTCAATGAGACTTGTTGTTATCACCAGCGATATGTTTGTACCTGTACCATTAATTACCCTATACACTGTCCTACTGTGCCTCCAATAGCGTACTCTGGTGAAGCATCCTGCGTTCTAAGATGAACGATGCTTGACCGACACAACACGGCTAGTGCCCGATTTCGCTGGGAGCTGCACGTCATGCCGCTGACGTCCGACCAGCTCGCTGACGAACTCGAAGTAGTTCAATGTAGCCGCCTGTTCAAAAGCAGACTGCGGCTCGAATCGGCCAGGGGTTCTGCTTCGGCACCTCGGGTCGCTTTGGCGCCGATCTCAACCTGGCTTCGCGAGTGACCAAGTCGTCGCGCACGAGCGCAAGAGATAGGATGGAGTTTTGCAGCTTTGAGCGATTCGGCGATTGGGCAAAGACTCGCACGACTTGGTGCTTTGCTCAGGCAAGTGAGCAGCTTGCTGCGGAATGTTTGCCGTTCAATACCAGCAGCTAGCGACACTGACCGTTTCCCGTGGACATGCGCAGATGTAAACCCGCAGGCCTAAACAGCACCTGACCCGGATTCTGGAATGCCAGCACAGCGGCGAGGCTGCAAACCTGCTCGTGCCCTGAACGACTGAAGGCCTAGAGTCCTAGAGCCCACCGGAAGTCCACAAGACTTTGAATCTGAATCCTGGCCCGAAGCCGAACTCCCAAACTCCCTCAAGTGCCCGAAACACCCAAAACAAAGCAAGGCCCCTTCACAAGAAAACGCCTGAGCTCTGAGACCCCCACCAGGCCGCGGCTCCGGGCAAGCCCAGGGCCTCCCAACCTCTGGGGCTGAAGCTTGGCTTCGGCTTCGGAGTTTGGGCGTTGCTCCAGGAACATGCGGGGGACGGTTCGACTAACGGAAGCGGCTAAGGATTAGGGCTTGGGATTGCTGCAAGTTTTTGGGGTTTAGGGATCAGGGATCGACGACTCGTGCGAATCGGTAGGAAGCATGAGGAGATTCTTTGTGTCGCTCTCATCGTCGCGGTGTAGCAAGGCAGCCACAACAGCAAGGGAAAGGAATTTGTTCACTTTTTCGAAGCTTTTTGCGGTGTGGAAGGGTTACTATAAGAGGCTATGGGTTCTGCAAGGTTTTCATCACAACTGCAAGGGTTTCCAGGGGTTTCGGCGCTCACACCCGGACAAAGGGGGGGCTTAAGGTTGACGACATCTTCGGCCTTGCGGCTGCGAGTGAATCCTTGCCGGACTGGGGAGCCCTCGACTGGTGGGCTCACAAGGCAGCGACCCAAACCCGACGGGACATTCCGGTGAGAGCATCTGTTGCTGGGGCAGCAGCTCTTCTGGCTGAACTTCGAACAACACTGAGACATCTTCGCTTGGGAAATCTCCTGGAACGCGCGAGGAGTCAGGTGAATCATATCCAGGGAAGTTTCAGGGCTGAAAGGACCCAAAGTTTGACCCTGACCAGTAGAATCATGGCACTGAAGCTTCCTTGCCAAAGTACCCAAAGTTCCTATGAAACCATTGAAACAAAGCATCGGCACTCCTAAACAAGATGTTTCGGAAACCTCCTATCAAATCCAAGCGAGCCGGCAGCTCCCCGTCGGTGTCAGAATCAGCTTCCCGGAATAAGTTCAGCACGGTGCCCACCACCTTCACGGTTTAACGTGATTTGCTGGCCCCCGGCATTGCTTGATCGAGTCCACCAGGCAGGGTTGCGAGGATTAACCTCTGAATTCATCACAGCTGCAGGACAGTGCACACCACGTCTTGGAGGCAAAACGCCTCGGGCACCATTGCAACAAGTAAAATAGGACCAATGCGAAGCAGCGACATCAATTTCTACCGCCAAGTTCGTGGTTAGGGCTTCACGGCTTCGGCTGTTGGCGATTGCACGAAGGCAGTGCAACATTGGCTTTGCACGAACCCAACAGCGTCAAGACCCGCTCAGTCACAATCCAACAGGATCAAGACCAGCTCAAGCTCGCACACATCACGCCCAAACTCCACGTTTGGTAGTAAGTAGTGAGTGGCTAGCAGTCAGTAGTTAGTCGTCAGACGCAAGGAACAAGCAGTAGCGAGCAGCCAGCAGTTAGCGTTCGTAGTAGTAGTACAGCTGGCAGTAGCACTAGCTTTAGAGCTAGCACAAGCACCAGCACTGGCACTGGCACTAGCTGGCACTAGCTAGTAGCAATAGCCTAGCACTAGCACTAGCACTGGCACTACCACTGGGATTAGCTAGCACTAGAAATAACACTGGCACTGGCATTGGCACTGGCGCACCTGCGCTGGCGCACTTGCACTGGCACTAGCGCTAGCGCGAACGCTAGCGCTGGCACTCGCACCCACACTCGCACTCGCGCCAGCACTAGCGCTAGCACTAGCACTAGCAGCAGTAGTCGTCATCGTCGTAGCAGAAACAGGAGGCACAGCAGCAGCAGCAGCAGTAGCAGGAGCACTAGCAGCAGCAGTACCAGCAGAAGGTGTAGTAGTAGCAGCAGCAGCAGCAGCAGTTGTTGTTATAGGTGTTTTTGTTCGTCGTCGCCCTGGTAGCAGCAGGTGTAGGGGTAGTGACTATATAGAAACAGTGCACCACCCGTTATCCTGGCGCCCCGCATGCCTGTGCCTCCGGACACCTCCTGGCTAGCTTGGCAAGCCGGCCCTGGCATCTAGGATTCATTCATTCTCGGCACAGCCAGACGATGTTTGTGGTGCATGTGGTTTGGACTCGCGCAACTCAGACTCTGCATGTGGTTTCGTTGCTGGAAACACCTTTCCTTTTCGCAAGATACTGCTTGGGGCGGCGGGGTAGGGATGCTTACTGTACGGGCTCGAACTCACAGCTCTAAGATGAGGACTTGGGGAGCAGCGAAGAGCGCTTCAAACGCAACACTGGTAGCCTTGCACAACAGATCTACAACACAGTTACTTCTTAAGGGGCACTGCCCATGTGCTCCATTCGCACTTTTCAAGCACACAGAGGATGCCTGAAGGATGGCCAGCGCGTAGTGGCCTCCCAAGGCATACTGGCTTAGCACAGTGCAAATATAGGCGCCGTACGCAAAACAATCAACCAGTCCTGGGCGCCTAGAAGCCAAAAACTGTCCTACAACTTAAGATATGAGCTGAGACTGGACGTGTTGATTTCTGTTTTCGAGGGAGCCATGTCAAAACCGTGCACAACAATCGAAAACTACTGCTGCAAAATGCTGCTCCTACTGCACCATCCGCCCTCACCGTCACCGTGATCAGCAGCGAATGCAAGCCTCCGAGCCTAAACCCTCACAATCAGCACCCCAGCACATTTTTGAGAGCGTAGGATGTAGAAGCAGCTGGAATTCTGAACTGCCCAAAGACGTGCAACAGCACACCACAAGTCCGTCGCCCCCTTCCCATCATAGCCAACCCCGCCGGGAGAACCACCAATGAACCTAGAAACCCAAACACCTCATGGACAAAAAACGGCGCGAGGCCCCTGCTGGGAGCACTTTCCCGCATGAGCCAGAAGTGCATCCACTCTTCCCGTGTGACGAGGCCCGGCCTGCCAAACATACGAAACGCCCGTGCAAGCTTTTCTGTGGTGTTGAGGCTTCGGGTTTAGAGCTTCGGGTTTAACTTCTTGAGGGTTTAGGGCTTCGCGCTTAAACTTAGGGCTCAGAGGGATGAAACGAAACCCCCCCGCTCCGAAGCACCCCACCGCCCACAAATATTCCATAAAACGCGAAGGTATTGTTATCGTACAACTATATTACAGGAACCCTCACGAACACTACTGGCAATCCTTCCGAAAACCGTATAAAACCTTGAATAAAACCTGTAGCGTGAACCCCTACAATATCCACCTCTTCGGGGAATCTTCGAGAGGAGCCTTATTCCAATTATTGATCCCTGTCTTGTCTGTCTCTCTCTGCCTGGCAACCGCTAGGCTGGAGAAGAGCTGACCGGCCCCGGCCAGGATCAGGTCCCGACCCTGCGACTTCTCTGATATGGGAGTTTCCGAAAATACGGTGTACCTTATTTTGGGGTCCTTATAATAAGGATCTTATTTTCTAGGGTACCATATTAGTGTCCCCTATTTTCGGAAACCCCCATATGCAGAGTGGGGCTTTAGTTTCTTCTGTTTGGAGGAGACTAAGTTTCAACATATAGTCATACGACTTACGCCAAGCCAGGCTCGCAGCAAAGATCTTGGGTCTCAGATGTAACGGTGGGGACTGCAAGGCCCTATCAGAAGAGGGTTTTGTTTTGCCTCCCGCCTGGCTAGGATTAATCTGCAAGAGGGGTTGGGGACCTTGCTTTTCTCCGCTGCGGACTCTTTTGCCCACGGCCCTATCCAAGCCCCGATGAACCCCGAAAGCACAGGGAGTCGATTCCAGGACTTCGGGCCTCTCCACGCATCATTTCATGTCGCACGGTCTTGGTCTTGGATTAAGTGACCTCTTGTATGTGCAACGGCTTAGGCATTTTTGGGGTGACCCTCCGGAACAATTCGGCAGACTTTGGTTTTGCTGTGTCCTTTCTGCAATCTTACTTGGGCATAGATAACAAGAAGAAGAAGCCTCAGGCCAGCTTTGGAGCCCTTCCCTGTGATTTTTAAGCGGCCTGAGGTAAAGCTCGTGCTCAAGAATTTAAAAGGCCTGAGGCTTCATCTTAAGGAGAGCTGTCAAGTTTGGGGCCGTAATGCACGACTAGTGTACGACTGCTTTGCTGCACTATGCACTCCTACACTACTGTGATCGCAACATACTGCCAGTGTACAACATTTGTCTCTCTACTACTGTACTTGTACGGTACTTTCGCTGTACTACTGCTGTGCTGGTGTACTACTGTACCTGGGCGGTGGGTCCGTCGGGCACACGCGGCTCACATTATTCAGGATGCCGGCAAATGAATGAGGCGACAACTGCAGACAACACAATTGATGTTAGCCATCAAAGTGCCCTTACTACACCCTGGGTGTCGGCAAGACCTTGTCCAAACAGCGGCAGGATCAATGAATACCACCTTGTTGATCATTCGGGGGTTTAGCGTCTACGGTCTAGGGTGTGAGAGGGCGTGACTACTTGTCGCAACACTCACACACACACACAATTCAAGCAAAAACTCGAGGTGCGCATATCGGAGCCCGATAAGCCAAGTTGAAGCACATCTGGCACATTATAGCGTCTTATCGTCCAGTAACGGTAGATTTTGATAAGTTACAATGATGGTATGCGGTGGCAGATGTAGTGTTGGATGATGTTAGGTTTTTGGCCTCTTCTGTCTCCGTGGTCGTCGTCAACGCCACAGCCAGCCACTGGGAAGTTGCAGCCTCTTCACACTTTTGGGAAGTTCAAAAGGGTTCTTGGCTTGCGTTTACGCTCTGAAAACTCGGACTTGCAGAGTCTATGGGGTTTAGGGTTTAGGGTTTAGGGTTTAGAGATGATGCTCAAAGCTCTGGCTTCGGTGGCGAGCCGAGGATTCTTTCGACATGGCGGCTGCTCTTCGTAGGGAAATGTGAGATGTGCCAGACCGGAGACAAGGGCAACAAGGGCTGCTGTTCTCAAGTGCAGTTGTTTTTTGATCTTCTGCGGTCCAAGTCGAATCGCCGCTCCTTCGCTGTGGCTACCGGTCTGTCCGGCTCTTCTTCTGGAAGTACTTGATGTAGTCGACCTCGAGCTTCACGGGGAAGTCTGACTCGGAGGGGTCACCGCCCGAGCTGCCACCAACTGCAAGGTTGAGGATGAGGAAGAACTTCTTGTCTTCGCTGGTGAAAGGGTTGGGCCAAGTGGTGCGCTCGGGATCAGCCACGGAGAGATCCAACCTCATGATCTCCTTGCGGTCGACGCTCAGAGACACAAACTCCTTGTCCCACTCCATGGTGAAGGTGTGATACACCTGGGCACTTCCAAGCCCTTATCATCGTATCCTAATATTAAGGGACCCGGAATAAAGGTGCCCCGAAGTTTAAGAAACCCCCACCTCCTCCCAGTCTGGGGTGGTCATAATGGCTGCTGCATGCTGAATGGCCTCGCTGGGAAGGCCCGACTCCCCAGCATGCATCACGCTGGCCTTGACCATGCCCTGGAATGCCTGTGCTGTTGTTTCTGGGCCCCTCAGTCCTAAACCGTTCTCTCTAAATCTCATGAAGAGGTACCGCTCTGAGACGACATGAGGCATTAAAAGGTATCCCAAAGTGCCATCCAGGAGCGTCCATGAGATCAATCTGACCATTCTTGGGCCAGGCCACCCCATCGAAGTCGCCCACAGACCACAGAGACGACCATGCCCCTTGTCTGGTGTCGATCTTGGCGCGCATCTCCACCATGCCGTAGGAGATCTCCAACTTCCCCCGGGTCAGGAGGGAGGCAGATGTGTACTCGGCGGAGCCTGAGCAATCACATACTGGCGTGCCTGAAGCATCGTTTTGGAGCAGGTCGCAGGGGTCTCCGTATTCGAAGTGGGGCGGCCCACAGACACTGCAAGAAGCATCGCTCAGCTCGGGATCCGATGCACTTGGGTTGTAGTTGGTGAGTTGGCACTTTGCTTCTGGCTTTGTCTGCTCCCTCTTAGCTGTGAGGACTAGCCTGCCATCCTTGCATTCTGCATTTTCGGGACGGTACCATGACAGCTCCTTGCCGCGCTTGTACCCGACTTCAGGTGTCCAGTAGTGTGGATTCGGCCGCAGGATGCCGGCACGGTCTGGCACACAGGTCAGGTGGTCGAAGTTGTCTTCCCAGACCAACTCCCAAATCGGCAACCCCAGGGAAGCTGCTTCTTTCTTGGCGGGACCGTTGCATCTGCCCCTCCTCCACTCAGCGCATTTGCCAGTCTCATACCCTGCAATGCATTCCGCAGACGCCCAATCATCTCCCTCCTTCACGTCAACGTTGGCAAAGCCTGCCTGAAACTCGCATAGGCCTGTATCCTCTTCGCTGTTGTCACCGTCGTTCTCATCCCCAACCCTTTGGGCATTGTCCTTGTACGAACAGCAACCATCTTTGGCGTGGCCTGCACACATGAGGGCACAGGCCCACTCGTTGACGACCGGAAACCTGAGTCAAACAGCTTCTTGCAGTCTAAAGTCTGAGGTGCAGGCAGTAGCAATAGTAATTACACTTTAAGCGTAGTGTAGTGATACCAACAACACAATAATAACTATCATCAGTCATAATAGGAGCACTACAAAGCAACAAAATGTGTTTATTCAGTGTGCTACTCTTTATCTTTCCCTCTTTCTTTCTCCATCATTATCACCATTACCGGCCATGATCATATTGAACTGATATTAATGCTAGTTATGGGGCTTTGTTACTACAGTACTTCTAGCACTGATGCTACTTGTTGTTTCAATGTTCTTGCTACTGCTGCTTTTATTTTTGAAGCAATGGACTTGGTGAATGTTGTTGTTGTCCCGAGTATGATTATGCTCATGGCCAGCATTACTACCGTCGCTATCATTATTGACACGATGACTACTAATACCGTCAGCTACGATCATTATTATCGCTATTGCTATTGCCATTTCTTTTGCTACTATTACTGCCATTGTCTTATTACTCATATTAGGAAGAATGGTGATTATAATAACAATAACAGTGTACTTTAAAAGTACCCATAGTAATTTAACATGGAAATAAGTCTCTGAAACATAACAATAACAATGATAACAAAACCTTTGAGACCTTATGGAGCCTAAGTGATAGGATCGTAAACTGAATACCAAGACCACCTCCCCCCCCGACTCCTGCCAGGGAACTTGCCATCCTGCCGCACAGGCGGCAATGTGGTGGTTGCCGGGGCACTCTTGTTCACGTCCTGGCATGAACGTGGTCGGACTCTACTTCCTCAGTCCCTCTCCTTCAACCCCAAAACAGACATCAAGCCTTGTCCCCAAGCCCTAAGAAAGGTGCATTGATGCAAGCCCCCCGAATACCCAAATTTCTTGGATTCAACGCAGGCAAGAACCGGAATTAAACGACAGCTAAGGCGATGGCACTTCGTTCCTGTTCATCGCCACTTGCATCATCGATCTCGGCCAGGATGCTCCTTGGTTCTCTCTGTCTCTTTGCCGGCCATCCTTCAAGGGTCAACGGCGGAAAAGTGTAGACTATAGCGGCGACAGCTGCAGGCATGCGCTCGTCAGGAACCGAAAACTGCTCGAGAACATCCAAGACTCGGCACAGCAGCATGCGAACCCCCCCAGGACAATGGCAACCCGTGGTACCTCGGCAAGACAGGCCAGCTCGAGGCAGTCTCAAATCTCCGGCTGGAGCTTGCGCGGGCATCACTGCATGCGTTCGAGCTGCTTCACATGCGGGCGGTGGATGTGATGCTGCCGCTTCATATGCGCAGCTCTGCTTATGGAACCTTGCGAGCTGCGAAGGGTCATTCTGCACATTTGGTGGCTGTGGAAACATCTGCAGAGGGAGCCATCCTGCAAGTCTGCAAGCCTTCTTCATAATCAGGAAAGTTCTTATGGAAGAAGGTACTTTATCAGAACTAGATCATGCTTCGAGGCTTTCTGCGGCTGCCACGGCAGAGATGCCCTGCACTGCAACCAAAAGGCCATCTGATTTGACAGAGGACTCGAAATTGACCGCACCTACGAGGAGCTGAAGCGAGAACAGCAACGTAGGCACGGCCATGTTGAGGCGTAACCTCAGCGACCAGGCAAAGCTGGACGCAAAGATGAAGTCATGCAAAAGCATAAAGCCAGTCGAACCTCGACAAGGAGGACATGTCGTCAGCTAACGCTTGCTCGAGCCGGAAAGCGATTATTGACAAGCCAATGTTGCATCCTGCGGCCCCCCAACACAGTTGACAAATGCAGCTCGTGCCGAAACCTAAGGCACAAGACAAACCCATCAGCCGAACAGCCTCCCTTGACACAGAAACTGCCGTGGCAATCGTGACACGACCGCCAGATCTGCAGCCTCTCGCCACGATCTTGCCTTTTCCTCTTACACGAAAGCCCATCGCTGTTGTAGCTTTCATCTCTCAACTCCTTAGGACTAAACCCAAACAGACCAAACTCCAAAACCTCAGAACACTGAATCTTGAACTCTACACCCCTGCATCCTAGACACGCCCTAAGGCCTTTTCAGAATCCCCTCTCAAAGCGCCTCCTCTGCGAGGAGCTCGGCCTGCCAGGAGGCAGCGTGCCGAGAACCCTTTCGATGACTCCAGGCGATTTGGGGTGCTCTTGATTCACATATATTAATAACAATAATATTATGAATAATAATAATAATAATAATAATAATAATAATTAGGCTTTAAAGTTTAGGGCTTTACTCACAACTCGGCACAACCTGACGAGGTTGGGGTTAGAGTTTAGAGTTGATAGGGGGCTTAGGGTTTGCAGGTCAAGACTTGGCTGGCTTCAAGGCTCGCATAATTCAAAACCCTCTCAGTCTTTGGTTTAGCTTCTTTTGGGCCGGTCCCAGCTGGCCCACATCCAACTGGCATGCTTCGGTTTTTACATCTGCCTCGTGCTTTGCATTGAAGTGCTTTCGGATGCATCAAACTCCCTGATTATGTGTTTGCTGTACCTTCGGGAGGTCGGGTGGAGCTGGCAGAGCATGCCTTTTGCAGGTGAACAGGGCAAGGACTCCCAAATCCGAGCCCCAAAATAGGCGAAGGGTGCAGGGGCGTGGGGCAATCCTGAAAACAGTCGCTGAGCCTTCTCGGAGCCTGCCAGCATGGAGAAGTAGCTCGAGAGCTGCACCTTACAGATCAGGACTTAGTCCGTATTTCGGAGATATCGGCACATCTGCCAGAAAAGGACGCCAGACGGCTGATGCACCCGGGATTTTTTTGATCTTGGCGCGGGGCAGGACAAGCGTGGCGTCATGTCCGGATGCCAACCTACGACCTACGGCAGGAACCTGATTAAGAAACCCTGGCCCTCTTAACACCAAAATATTAGGATCCGTTTCAAGAACCCTAACAGTAGTGTCAAGCGTTCCGAAACAGGTTCCTACATTACGGAAAAACTCCGTGGAACTTTGGACCAAGCCGGGCTCGGTCAGCTCCCAGGGTTTAGGCTTTCAAGATGGCTTTTTGGGGCCCCTACGGCTCTTTAGGGCCTTGGAGGCTTCTGGTGTTTTGCGCTGTTTAGGGCTTGAGGTTTCGGGCTCAAAGCAATAGCTTGGCACTGCCTCATTTCATCTCCCCAGCCTGCGGCGTGACATGCACAAGCACGAAGCCTGACACAAGTTCTCGTACCCTAGCGGCCCTGCTCTGCCAGGAGCAGCCTCCAGGATGTCGATCATGTTGTACACCTCTCATGGAATGTGCCTATGTCCGAATATCTCGTAGCTCTCACAGCAGAAAGGAAAGCCCAAATCCGAAACAACCGACCAGCCACTGGACACTCCACCAAGGTGCCTTCTTCGGGGCTTTCCCGGCTGCTTGGCTTGCGATGAACTGGACGGCATCGGCAACCCCTTCACCATACGTCCGGCGGCCGCATACATTGTGCTTAAACTGAAACCTCAGCTTCGATGCGAAGCTCAGACTCTAGGTGTCCACCTACCGGGAGTCATGCTGAAACGAATTGAGGCTGGCCACTGGACAGATCCATCGCTGCTTGTGAGCGTATACGTGTGAAAGGCGTGGCCATTGGAGAACTCCTGGCGAAATTTGCAGCTGTTGTGTTGTCTCTCATGCCGGATACGCATAGGTGGCGCGGCCTCTGGCACTCCGAATGCTCTCTGCGAGGCATCGTCCCGAAGCTGGGTGATCTCAGCGCGCCGATGCAAGCAGAGGCCGTGAGCTCAGACTCGGCATGACTTGAACACACATCCCGGGCCTGCTCGTGGGTGAACGGATCCACGCCCAGCCCTTGAAAGGAAGAGACCTCTCCGGATCATGCGACAGGGCTCTGGTTCCCAAGGACCTGCAGCCTGAACCCCAAAATTAAAGCCGATTCAGAATTTTTTAGCACTCAGTACACATACAAAGGTAATAAAAGCAATAATAAAGAGGAGAAGGATAACATCAACAGCAATACTAAGAACACTCGTCGTCATCATCATCACATATCATCACCATCACCAAAACCCTCCTTGCAAGAGTAGCATTGCTGCCAGAGCTGCCATGGCTTTCGCTGTTCCGCTGGTATCGGCCTTTGTCTTCTGATGGGACTCGGTGACCTCCAGCTTGTAGCCTGGAAGGATTAGGGCTCAGGGACTCCCAGGTTCTTTTCTTTTTGGGCAGGGTCCCTTAAGGGTATATATAGG